ATGAGTGCGTATGTTATCATGAATAGAATTGAAAGATAGCAACCTGCTCATTGGCTCTCTTCAAAGATTGAGATAAAGAACCTTTGTTTGTGCAAATGAAATAATAAACTGATAATTTTTTTCTATTCAACTTAGAAAACTTCGATCCAGAAGGGGAAATAGCTGTCGAGGAGTTTGAAGACCACGTGAAACGCCTTCAAGAGGATGATTTATTTTCTGTTGAGTATGGTGCTATACGCTCTCAAGGAAATGTTACTTCCAAAGCCACTTTGGCCGAGGAGAACAAACACAAGAACCGTTACAACAATATCGTTGCGTACGACCACAGCCGAGTAAAATTGACTCCAATCGAGGGTGTGCGGGGCTCTGACTACATTAACGCCAACTTCCTTGACGGTTATCAGAAGGATAAGGCATATATCGCCACCCAAGGACCACTTGAACACACTTCAGATGACTTCTGGAGAATGGTCTGGGAGCAAGGGACAAAAACAATCGTCATGGTTTGTGCTTTCTGATAATAAGTAATAATCAATTTAGATCACTTGTAATGATTTAGTTGCGTCATGTTCATTTTACCGTGCATTGTGCAGCGTAGCCATAAGAGAAAGTGTCACATCTTTCCATGCCTATCTTTAAAAGAATTTGAATTTCTTTCATATTACAGAATTAAAATTTTCCAGTCGATTGTGTGTGTAAAAGTCTGTGGTTTTTGTAACATGAACCGTTTAGAAAGGAATTATTTCTTCGGAATGAAATGTTAAGCCATTGATGCTTCACCACTCCTCCTCCACCCCTTCCCCTCACCCGTACGATATTATCAGTTTTCCTCGACAATTTGCGAGTGCCCGCCTATAATCCTAGTCGGAGAGAGGATTTGGGAAAGATGAGGTGCTCACCCAATTCCTTCATCCCTGTGAATAACCTAACACAGTTCACCATGAAACGCTTGAAGTATGCCTGTTCACCCTATTCTAGGTGACAAACTTGGAGGAGAAGGGTCGCCTGAAGTGTCACCAGTATTGGCCATCAGAAGGTGCAGAATCGTATGGTGACATTCGAGTAACCTTGATGCAGACGGTGCAGCTCACTGAATTCACCATCCGCACCATGACTCTAAAGCACGCCAATAACTCAGAACAACGAACTGTAAATCAGTATCATTACACGGTATGGCCTGACCATGGTGTTCCCGAGTGTCCTTCCTCACTTCTCACGTTTGTGAGAAAGGCTTCTAGAGCAAATCCTCCAGACGCAGGGCCTATGGTGAGTTATCTTACGTTTCGCAGGAAGAAGTGAGAAAGGATTTAAATGAGGAGGGGGGTGTACAGTCAGCTAAATGTTTTCTAGTAAGGTAAATGGCACATTGCATACTGGAAATATTATTGGTAACTTCCATTCTAGAAAAATTTAAACAAAAAAAAAAATTCCACTTTCCTCTCTCTCAGCGATCGTTATGTTGCATCTTGTAACTGAGCACAAGAGATTATCATCTTGTTCTGAAATAAGTGATGACTGAGAGGAAAGTTTCCACAACCTAAGCAAATACTGACTGCAGAAATAAAAATATTATTAAAAGAGGCACGTATATTTGGTTCTTTATTAGTTCCGATATATTATTAGTGAATTTTCATTCAGGTTGTTCACTGCAGTGCCGGGGTGGGCAGAACTGGTACATTTATTGTGGTAGACGCAATGCTGCGCCGCATTGCTGCAGAGAAAACAGTGGATGTCTATGAATATGTCAGCTCATTGCGACAAGATAGAAATTTTATGGTGCAAGTTGAAGAACAGTACATTTTGATTCATGACGTCCTGGTGGAAGCCATTCATTCCGGATTCACTGAAATACACGCGAATGATCTTAGATCTCACATCAAGAACCTCATGCAAGTGAATCAAACGAGCGGTATGTGTCTTTCCCAGCATTTACCATCCTGTCAATCCCCTATCTAATTCATATTACGAATTGGAAATAACTCCATAGAAGGGCTACTCTGTGAGTTCTAGGCTTAATGGCGATTACTAAACCATTTTATTGATGGTGCTTCATTCCACTTGGGTTTTTATAAATGTAGCGGTTTTCTCATGTAACATCCTCTGGCTGCGAGGCTTTAAAAAGGTTTATGATGAAACTTCACGAAAAATTTCCTCTGATCAAACGAATTTCTCTCAACCTTAGTCTGCCTTGAGAGTATTATTCATCCTCTGTTCGATTTGATGTGATAAGGTCATTTTTTATGCTGTTAGGCCAAAGTGAGATGGATGAGGAGTTCATCCGGCTAGGTCGCTGCATCAACGCTTCCCAGCTCACAGCTCAGGCTGCCAACATGGCCTGCAACGTGACCAAGAATCGTTATCCAAATGCGTTACCGTATGATGAAACCCGGGTTAAACTGAGTGTAATCTCAGGCGTGGAAGGCTCTGATTACATCAATGCTAACTTCATTGATGGCTACATGACCAGGAGAGCATTCATTGCAACTCAGGCACCCATACCTGATACTATACCAGACTTTTGGCGCATGATCTGGGAACAAGAATCTTCCACCATAGTCGTGTTATCAAAAGAAACAGAAGGTGAAAAGGTATGCTCAATAAACCGACAATTTATCAATCAACTAAAACAATCCATCCATCAGTCTGGGAAAAAGGTTACCTTCTTTGTTAGGGATGTTATTTTTGCAGGGGTTAATAGAGATGCCTTACAGTGGTAAGTGAGCCCCGTTCTATGTCGGTCATATCTAAGTATGTATTCCTAACAGTCGACTTTAGTGAGCAACTTCTGAGAGACCTATAAAAAAGCCTTCTTTACTTGTAGATGGGTCCTCCTAAGTGTAGTAAGACCCCCGATTGTAACAGTTTGTTGGTCTTAGTGAGCGGCTGTAAGCTTCGTTGTCTTGCGCATGCAGTATTACTCCTCATAACTTGGTGTAAACATTATCATTTAAATATCAGCGAATGGATACATGCATCCACTTACTCGTAACGGCTGTAGGGAAAAAAAGATATGACTGAGCATCAACTAAAATATCTTTAGCTTTTGAGTCATCGTTTAGAGGGAACTAACTTGTATAGGGTAGGAGGTCTAACTATGTAATTGATCTGAATTTGAATTTAATCGATTTTTAAAGCTTAATCTTATGTATACAGGTTAAAGTACACCAATACTGGCCTGCAGAGAAGCCCGCGCACATTGGCACTTTGGTAGTGGAAAAAACAAGCGAGACGGCCTATGAAGACTACACAATGAGAGAAATGAAACTCACCCATACCAAGGTTCCTTCTGATGACTCTTCAATTAATCTTCAGGAACTTTCTGTTTATTAACAATAAAATGTTAGGGAATTAGCCAAGAATTTGTGTGTTACGGGGAGATCCATCCATGGCGGTTCCTAGATTGAAGGAGAAGAATGGGGTCCTAACTTACACATAATACGAACCAAGAAGACGAAGTTAATAAAAGGCTTTTAGGACCATAACAATATGATAATTTAGAAGAAAAAACGTGCCAATTTCCCAAGACATGCTTTATCTTCTTCAAAGCGACCACATGCACCCTAAAATCTCTACTGACAGCATTTATCAAACACACACATTTCTCTTGTCAATATTTCAGGAAAGTGCATCGCGAGTTGTTCGTCAGTATCATTACACTGGATGGCCTGATTCAGGATCTCCAGAATCAGGTACTGGCTTGATCGATCTTATTGGGCAGGTACAACGGTGGCAGCAGCAGTCAGAAAATACCAAGATCACTGTGCACTGCAGGTTTGTATTTGTAATTAAAATATTGTGTATATATTATAGTCTGGCTTTGGTCCTAATTGAAAAATGCTCATTTAGTCGTTATTTAGTTCACTGGTGTTCCTATGGTCAGAAAATTCTTCCTAGTCCTAACGTTGTCTCCTGAATCTCGCTCCCACCACCTTTGCAAAACATTTATACCCTGTAACTATAAGTGGACAATTAAGGCCCCAGGGAAGATCTTTTCATTCCTAACAGTGGAATGACAGTCATATCAATTTGTCGGTTTTAGTATTACTCGCTTGCTTCACTGGGTAGGAATATTTAAAACGCGCACGTTGTAATGTTACCAATTTGCGCACATTCATGTATTTCATTCATCCTATATACCACTTTGCAGTAATATTTCAATTACTACGCTCGTTATAAACTGTTATATTCATTTAAATATTAATTTATCAATCAATGAAAACTCTTGTAGCATGTTAATATCAGGTATTGCCCTCCGCTAATAAATGCTAGTGGAAAGACAACCTTTTGCGCAGTTTACAGCAGACCCTAAGTTTACTTTCTTCTTCAACTTCATCTTCAACTTCACATTTCAGCGCTGGAGTGGGTCGCACAGGAGTGTTCTGCGCCCTCAGTATTTTAATCGGACAGTTAAAAAGTGAAGGTGTGGTTGACGTTTTCCAGACTGTGAAGCAGCTGAGAGTTGAGAGACCTGCCATGGTCCAGACAAAGGTGTGTTATTTTTTTGTGAGGTATTCAAGGCAACTTAAAAACCGTCACAGAAGAGGGCAATTGGCTTTTATTTCTCGGTTGGAATTTAATTTTGCTCTCTACTTGCATGGCTGCGAGAGTGGGCAGTCAATAACATATGTTATAGGATACAAGTTTTGTTTTGAAACAATAGAAAGTACAATTTGAACCAACCAAGACTTATGTCAGATAGATCAGAAGGGTCTAATAGGAACTGGAATGGCCGAGCAGTCTATTGGAGGTTTTTCTAGTAACTTGAAAGTACACTTGTGAATGTATTGCTGACCTAGTGATTTTCACTCTTTCAGGATCAATATGAGTTTATTTACTCTGCTCTCAGTGAGTATTTAGACTCATTTGATGCCTACAGTAATTTCTGAGTGCCTGCACCCGTTCAAGAATGAAGGACAGTTATAAATTCAGCAAGAATTAATTTCTTTCGTGCTCTAACTAGAGATGAAATAATCAACATTAAGTCGTAAAAAGCGCGGCGATTTTCTTTAAAGTGCCGTTAACTCAGTCAGATATGTAAACCCAGTTGCTAAGGATAGATAGATGATGTGGATAACCGCTTAGCGCTTAAATTAGGTTGTGATCATGACCAACCACAGTCTTAGGAAAAAAAAAATTGGGATTCGCTAATTTAAAGCAAATTTAAACCACAGGGAAAAAAAACAAGATCTAAAAGTTTAATTTGCGAATGGATTCATCGATCAAATTATATTGAAAGTTTTATTTGACGTTTTATTTCATTTTTTCGTGTTTCTAGGCTGAGTTAATTGAAACATATGGTGACAACTTTCTGTCAGGAAAAAAAAAATGAATCTTAAGGGTAACCGAATCCTAAACACACAAGTTCACAGAAACCATGGTTCAGTCATTTTTCAAAGGAATCAGCCAAAAACCTTGTTAACCTCGCTCCAGATTTTGCAGCCTTTTTTGTGAAAGTGGAATTGTTTGACTTTGTCTCCTACTGGCGGGATTTCCTGAGACTAGCTTGTGTTCTGTGGATGAAAATAGTTAAGTTTTCTATCTTGTAGAAAAATAATCAGTATAAACTGAACCATTCGCTGGAGTCAAGCAGAAATAATTTCAGCGGATGACAGTCCAATCTCTATACAATTGAAGCTTTAGCTGTATTCTAACAATAAAAGATAATTTTGTTCCATGCTCGTACTTTCAATGGTCAGGGTATTAAACACCTGTTTACGTAAGAGGAAGTGGCAAGGGATTAATATTTATCGAGCATTCGACGCTATTCACTATTTTAGTATATCGTAATTTTCTCTATTCAAGCAATGCCAAGATTTTATACACCGGCCTATTGTAAGTGTCATTAAATGCATGACTGCTCGTTAACACCAGCCTGCTATTTTGACAAAACATGGAACCTGTTGTTACATTTTCTGAAGGAGATAAAATCGAACCGACTGAATCGAACCGAAGCGATGGTCTTTCAGAAGTCTATACCATGGCTACAGTTTTTCTCTAATTTTGTAGATGATTTGCGTGTCCACTACAGAAGATTTTCAAGAATGGTGCAATTTTTTCCTATTCCTTTTTATTACGATCAGCTGATCAAGAAACCTGTGTAGATCTAAAACAAAAAACCAAACTAGGAACTGATCTCGCAAGTCTTCATATCATTGACCATTGTTCCGGCTCAGCCTTTCCATTAAGCGTCAAACAAAAGTCCTTCTGTAATCGGTAGCCCTGAGGGGCTTTGGCCGAAGGGAGGCGGAGAAGCTCGTAGCTGATCGAGAAAATTATCGGAGTGACAATTTCGCTGCATTGGGAGAGTGGGTAGTGTAAATTTGCACTGGTAAAATCAATCTCATATCAGCGTACCCAAGGGTAGACTTGACCCTCGATTAGTGCATCGAGCTAAAGGCTCGCAAATTCAAAAATTATAAAAGTTATTCGTATTGCAGTGACTCGTTTAAACCACCTCTC